TTGTAGTTTTTTTTATAAAAAATAGCTTTGCTAAGCACAATATAGGGTGAGAAAGGAATGATAAAGGCCAATTAAAATGTACAGTTAATTAGTACAAGAGTATGAAGCAAATTAAATTCTCCCCATCCTTAATTGATTCTGCTTCTTAATCAGAGTTCTCTCAGTAATTGCTCTTTTCTGTAGCTCTCGTAAATTTCAGATCTAATAATCTAAGAAATACCCTAATGGACAGTTGCTTGATTTTGCTTGATTTTTGTAGAGTGCTTGTAGAGTAAGAACAACTTGCAGGTTATTACATCAACAAAAGATTAAAACTTATTAAGGCTTTGTAAATGTAATTAGCTGCATTCAGCTGAACATTTCCTGGATTCAAAATATGACATTTCTATATCACAGTCTGTGAGTAAATAATTACTGCATTCATATATCACTCTAAGCATTACTTTAAACTATGGATTGTTCATTCAGCTAAAATAGTTGGATTCATTATCTATTCATGCAAACCAGAATGGCCAGGTTCACATATTGTATTTCCCAAAAAAATAAGCCAGGATCTTATTTTCTTTTGACCCACAAAATAAGCATTTGGCCTTATTTTCGGGGAGGTCTTATTATTTTTGAGGTGCAGAAGGTGGTGAGCATGGTCAACTCATAGCTGCTGCCATGTTGCGCATTGCTGGGCCTGCCACTCTTTTTGCAGTGGCCATTAGCGTGACAGAAGGGGCATGGTGGCTAGGGTTGCAGGAGCGGCCATTAGGTAAGGGCGTGTGGGGTGCATGGGGCATGTTCCACTCTCCCTTTCCTCCCTGGCCTCACCTGCTCACCTTGTGTTGTTTGTGCGGCAAGCAACCAGAGGAAATGGCAGGGACCAGCTGGGCATGCATTTAAATATTTTCAGAGAGGGCTTATTTTGGGGGGAGCCTCAAAAGCCTGATTCGGCTTATTATCCAGGGAGGTATTATTTTCGGGGAAACAGGGTGTAAGAAACAAACTATATTATGCCTTGTTTGAACCTTTTTTTTAAAAAAAATCCCAATATGAGATGAGAAATAGTATATTTCTTCTAAAAATGTTTTTTGTTGAATTTCATTTCATAAATTATCAATTTTTATTTCTTCAATTGAGGAAACCCTGCTTTATTTGAACTGCAGTACCAGAACATGGGTATCTGGGTGTCAAAAACAGATCATGCCAAACAAATCTTATCTCATTCTTTGACAAGGTGACTAAATTAATGGACCAGCTAAATGCTGTGGGCATACCGGCAGTATACTTGTATTTCAATAAGGCATTTGACAAAGTAAACCACAACCTATTTCTAGATAAGTTAGAAAAATGTGGGATATGCAGCATCACCACCATCTGGATTTGTAACTGGCTGAGAAACCACACTCAACATGTAAGCCCGAATGGAGCTACCTCTACAAGGAGGGGCATGTGCATTGGGGTACCCCAAGATTGTGTCTTAGGCCCAGTACTCTTCAAAATCTTCATTAATGAATTAGAAGAGGGAATAGAGAGGGAAGCTCATCAAATTTGCAGACAACACCAAGCTGGCAGGAATAGCCAACATCCTAGAAGATAAACTCAAGATCTAGAAGGATCTCAACATAGTTGAGCATTGGGCCAAGCAAAATGCAATGCAATGCTGAGAAAAATAAAATATTATACTGAAGCAAGAAAAACCAAATGCATAGTTATAGAATAGTTGGCTTTTTTGGTAGCTGCAGCACACTGTTGACTCAATAGTAGTAATTGCAAGAAGAATCTAGGAGTGCTACTGCACAACCATTTAACTGTAAGCCAGCAGTGTGTTACAGCTGGCCAAAAAAAAACCCAATTAATAGAGGGATATAATCAAAATCACCGGAAGTGTTAGTATCAATTCATAATACCTTGGCAAAACACACTTGGAATATTGCATTCAGTTATGGTTGCCACAATATAAAAAAAGATGTTAAGACTCTAGAAAGAGTGTAGAGAAGAGCAACGAAGATATTGGGATTGAAAGCTGAAATATCTGAAGAATGGTTGCAGGAATTGGATATTAATGAAAAGAAGGACTAGGGTGACATGATAGCAGTGTTCCAATATCTAAAGGGTTCTACAAAGAAGAGAGAGTCAAGGTATTCTCCAAAGCAACTGAGGACAGGACAAGAAGCAATAAATGGAAACTAATCAAGGAGAAGGAACTTAGAACTAAGAAGAAACCTCCTAACAGAACAATTAATCATTGGAATGGCTTGCCTCAAGAAATTGTGGGTGCTCCATCACTGGAGGTTTTAAAGGAGAGATTGGACAGCCATTTATCTGAAATGGTATAGGGTCTCCTGCTTGAACAGAGGGTTGGATTAGAAGACCTCCAAGGTCCCTTCCAACTCTGTTATTCTGTTAAGAACTTAATCTCAGAAAACTTTGTTCTAAGTGTCACTATCACTGAGACAATCACTGTCAGGAGGAGTATCTGCAGGGATGTCAAAAATATAGTTATATTTTTAATATATAGTTCATGATTCATTCAATCATTGCTATTGTATTTTTCAGAGTATAAGACGCATTGGAGTATAAGACGCACCACGATTTTGAAGAGGCAAATTTTAAAAAAAGTTTTTGCACTCTGCAGACCTCCCAAAAATGGCCCATTTTTCATGAAAACGGACCCATTTTTTGTCAAGAGCATGCATAGTCTTTAGGAGGCTTATAGGGTGCTCCTGGAGGCTGGGCAAAATTGAGCCAAGTACGGTCTGTTTTTTGCTCATTTCTGCCTTCCGAGGCCCTCAGGAGCACTCTGAAAGCCTTCTAAAGGCTATGCAAAGCCATTTTGGTGAAGGGGACGGGCTTTCGGGAGGCAAAAAATGCTGCATTCAGTATATAAGACGCACCCAGATTTTCTTCTTTTTTGAGGGAAAAGGGTGCGTCTTATATTCAAAAAAATACGGTATGTCTCTTTTTCACATGCATCCCAATGAACATTCGAAAGGGCAAGGTCTCAGTCTTTGAGTCTTTGACTCCCTTTCTCCACTATGATTGAGATTTTTAGGTTTCAGATTTTTAGCACTTCCTTCCAAAACTATTTTTGTAATTCTAACTATTGTCAACTGTACAGAATCTAGACCAGTGATGGCAAACCTTTTTTGGCTCTCGTGCCAAAAGCGGGGAGAGCAAAGGGGGACATGTGCTGATGTGCCACACCCATAATGCTATGTGCGCCCCCCCAGTGCACATGCATGCGTCCAATCAGCAACACCCCCCCACTTTTGCCATGGTTTTTTCACCTTCCCCAGGCTCCAGAGGCTTTCTAGGAGTCTGGGGAGGGTGAAAACAGCCTCCCTGCCCCCTGGACGCCCTCCGGAGGCGGAGGGAATAATGAAATGATTAAACATCAAAAAATCTGAATATAACATCAGTCATACAAAACATCAGATTTGCAAATAGGTCAAGCTTTAATTTCACAGCAGTTGCTCCAAATAATAAATGTCTTTGTAACTGAACTGAACTGCATAATATGGTTGGACTCTGATTTATTCATTTCTATGTTTAAAGGCAGTCCAATAAACATATGCAATGACCACCAATTTTTTCTTCTGCATCATCCCACAAATACATACTCATACACAAATTGACATGTTTTTTTCTTCACAGTTCTCTAGGCTTGGAACAGTTTCACACATTAATGTGCCTTCTGCCTCCTCATAATAATTTAAGGGAAAGTTAATTAAAAAAGTATAATCTAATGGTGACCCTGAAAGACCCTAATGAAATGTTTGTTAAAGTTGGAAAGATGTGTCATTTGTATAACTAGTTTTGTTCACAATCTGTCTCTTCTGACCCATTTTTTTTTCCAGTAAATGAAGATTTTCGGGGGTAGAATTTTTATTTTATATAATAGTAGATATGTAATCAGCACAAATTCTTACAAAAAAGGAGCCAAATAAAAAATGAAGGAAAATAAATCCAGAAAAATAGTATAATCAGCATTTTATAATATTAAAATATATAAACTGGGAGGGGGGGGAATGAAAAGTAGAACAATTATACAAATTTTAATAGAATCATGGAGCTGTAATATATTTCTATCATACCACTGACCATAATATTATTTAAATGGGAAAATGATAATATAAACCACAATGTTCAAAAGCTGAGAATGGGCATAAGAAAACTCATTTGTTTGCTGGATTTGCATAATGGAGCTCAATGCAATTAATAAAGCATTTCCCCTATTTCCCTTACAACAACCACTTTGCAATGTAGATTAGGCTAGACTAAAGTCACCCAGAGGCTTTTATGGGTGGATTTGAATCTGGAACTCTTAGGTATCCAAGTCCAATACTTTAATCATTAGTCATTTAGGACCTAAAACTTGGATACTCATATGATTTTCAGAGACCTCATTTTTTATTATTTTATTTTGTACCTACCAAGTCAAGTGCCACATTATTTTCACTTCAAGCAAAGCTATTTTTCAAAGGAATCTTACATCATAATAGCAACACAAGTAGGGTTAGATAAGTCTTGAGTCTTGAGTGTATGGCAACTGCCAGGGACTGTACTCTTCTTCGCTTTACTTTCAAAACAAAACAAAACTGCAACTCGCATGCTAAAAAGCAAAATACCAAATTCATCTATCCAGGTTAAAAATAATGCTTTTTCCCCTGTGCATGTACCTCAAGAGCATTCTTAGAAAATTAGAATGTTTGGAGGCTTCGGATCATTATTTGATTTAGAAACCTAGCCATTTGCCAGGAGAAAAGAAAGTCTAGTGCAAGCACCCTAGAATAGAATTTAACAATAGGAAGCAATCATACCAGCTTAAAATTTGGTAAATGGGGAGCTGTTTGATTCAGAAAGCCCAGCAAAACCCTCATTTGATACTACTTTCTCAAAATTCCAAATGTGCTCATTGACCCAAAAGAGAGTAAGGGTCTTCAGATAAAGTGCAGAAAAATAATGTAAAGTCAGAATAGCCAAGAAAATAAAAAGTATGAAAAGAGACTTACTTTGAATTCTTTTTCAATATTAGCCAGTTTGGCAAGCTCATTGCTAAGTTCTAGAGCAGTGAGGACTGGATCTTCACTAGACAAGGACAGATAGGCTGGACTGGCCAACCCTTTGTAGGCATTTATTCTTGATCTAGAATGACTAAAAGAATCAATCTTCTGTTTCTCAGTGCAATCATTGCACTTACAGAAATAATCATGGGGCCTCTCTATCCTTGCCCCTTTCATTAACAGCATGTGTACCACTTCATACTTCTGACAATGAGCAGCTAAAATGATGGGTGTGATGTCTGGGGAGAAGCGGGTGCCATCTTCATCATAAGAATAAAAGTCATCGTCTTGGAGTTCCTGCTCACAGGGGCTCAGAGTCAGCCGCTTACTAGCTGCAAACCCAGGATGATTCAAGATTGCTTCCACAATCCGGATATATCCTTTGCTTATTGCAAGTAACAGAGCATCTCCAATTCGTGCCAGATTCTCCTTTTTTAACAAAAGTTCTGTCACTTCAAGATGTTCATTCCCTACAGCAAGCTGCAAGGCATTTTGGCCCATGTAGTCAACGCAATTCACATTTAATGTTTTTGACTCTTCCAACATTTTGCGCACCACAGGAATGTTCCCATATTCTGCAGCATCCAAAAAACGCTCTTCCTCAGCTGTGAGGCTTGTGCCCCTGTCGTTAAACATAAAGGCTGGGCCTCTGATAGCTTGCCGTCTTCCCTTTTCTCTCATCATAGTTGTTCGTTTCAAAGAAGGGCTTCCATCAATGAACCTACTGAGCAAAAACAGTCATTATGGAAATTTTTCATGGCACCATCTCTACAGAATCTAAACCAGCTTCCTAAAACCAGCTCCTTTACCCAATTATCAACTGTTCACACTTTATTTTGACAGTTGATCACCTCTAAATAATATTTCATTGTAATGGAATTACTTTAAGATCCTGTGTGAATAAAAGAACTACCAGAAATAATTGTCCAAAAGATCTATTTAGAAAGACAAAAATATTCAGACGTAGGACACACACACACACACACACACACACACACACACAAACAGACATATATTCGTAGATTTTCATTCGGGTCTTTTCCCGTGTAAGATTGAGATTGTCTTGGCAATGTTTCGGCGAGGTCTCACTCGCCATCTCCAGGCTGGTGTTTTCAGCTTAAAGCATGGTCGGAGCTGCCGTCTTTCTATAAATCTTGGTGGGGGGGTGTGGAGTGCTGGCTTTGTTTCAGTAAGTGGATTACCCCCCACCAAAATTTATAGAAAGACGGCAGCATGCATATGTGTGTGTGTGTGTGTGTGTGTGTGTGTGTGTGTGTGTATATGTGTATATTGTATATATGTATATATATGTATATATGTATATATGTGTGTGTATGTATATGTATATACAAAGATTAAATTAGATATTTCAGGAAATCAGTGGTATTATATACATTATAGTGGTCATAATTAGTTTATCTGTCCAGAAACATAACAGTTTTATAATTCTGTCATTTAGTTTTAACATTTATATTCGGTAGTATTTTTATCTATGTTTATATAATTAATAGTGAATTATTTCATTTGCTTCTATTGATTTTAGAAAATGTCTAAATTTTCTTTTTGAATTTGTGCTTTGTAACGTACTATATTAGTTGCATAAAATATTGGTTAGTGACTGAATTACAGTTTAAAAGAAGATTTTTTACCAAATGATGTTTCGTTGTTATTTGACTCTAAATAGTCAAATATTTGACTCCAAATATTTCAGACAGAAATATTAATGAAGCTCAAGCTTTTCTTTTAGATATTATGGACAAACCAATCAAAAAACAATTTGGGACACTATTTCTTTGTATGATGATTGCTGCACAGAATGTATATGATAAACATTGGTGGGGAGGGATGTTGACTGTTGAAAAATGTATTTTCAAATTGAATGAATTAGAAGAAATGGCAAAACTAACTGCTTTATATTAGAGACGACAGATTAAGCAACTTTATAAGAGACTGGAAACCGTTTGTGGATTTTCTACATGTTAATTACAATGACAGATGGTGAAGAGAGGGATTTGAAGATTAGTGTAATGTTTGGGATAATTTATTGACAGGTTTCTTTCCTTTTACCTTTTACCGTGTGTGTGTGTGTGTGTGTGTG